TTATTTAGGAGTGATCAATTTATTATATTCATTATATTTTATGTATTCTTTTACTCATTCTTTTAAACAAAATGTTGACCCCTCATTTTAGGCAAAGCAATTGGGGATCAATGTTACGTTCTCAGGATGTGGTCCCTGACCCCAGAAATGATTTAGTCTGTGGCAGGATTATGTGAAAAAACTAAACATGCGTGTGTGTGTCATGATAGAAGGTTACAGGGCTCTATGGTGTGTCTTTAAATGGGATCAAAGTCCCATTTAGCGGAGGTTAGATGAGGAGACGGCATCTAAATTGAAGCCCTGGAAAGATGTGAGGATTAACCAGGTATGTGTTGGAAAGGAAACAGAGAATTCTCTAGGAGAGAACCTGGAGCATTTGGCAACGATAGTGATACATTTCAATGATTGTAGCACTACATTACCACTACTGTAGCCCAAGTGCCCTGCACTGCGCCTGGCACATGCAGGTATGAAATAAATGGGGTGGATGAAAGAACTACAAGAGAGTAGCTGGGACTACAGGCATGCGCCACCATGCCCGGCTAATTTTTCTGTTTTTAGTAGAGACGGGGTCTCACTCTTGCTCAGGTTGGTCTCAAACTCCTGACCTCAAGCAATCTTCCCGCCTCAGCCTCCCAAAGTGTTAGGATTACGGGCATGCGCCACCGCGCCTGATCTTAAAACCCACATTTTTTTCAATGATGGGAAAATTTCTAAGTGATAGTGCAGGGAGAATGAGCAAGGAATCACTGGTGGCCCAGAATTATGATAAACAACCTGGTGGGCAGAGGTGGCTCAGTACCAGGGACAGAGATGGTGTGTTCACACCCCCAATCTGGCCCCACGCAGCAGAAAATATCATATTGTACCCATGGGTGAAGGTAATGTGTGGGGTTTACTATATGATGTGACAAGACTGTGCTCTCATAGCTGCCAGAGTGACCTTAGTAAAAACTAAGGCAGATCATGTGGGTCACAGCCTCATCTCACTCAGAATAAAAGCCAAAGTCCTTAGAATGGCCTTCAAGGCCCACATGAACTTTCTCCTCTCCCTCCTGCACCCATGCCCAATTCCACCCTGGCCACATCTACTCATCTTCTCGTAGACACTCTGTTCCAGCCACAATGGCCTCCTTGCTGCTCCTTCAATGGCAAAGGACATTCCTTCCTCAGGGTCTGCACCTGCTGTTTCCCCCACGGAAACAGCGCCCCCCATTGTCTGCATTGCTACCTCGCTCTCCTGCTTCCCATATTTGCTCAAATATTAGCGAGGTCTTTTCTGACCATTTTGGTTAAAATGAAATGCCCACACACACAGACACACACACATACCAGCACTCCTCAGCCCCTTTTCTGACATATTTTTCTCCCTAGCACTTATCACCAGGGAATTCTACTATATGTCACATATATGTCACACACACACAAACACACATATACACTAGAATCTAAGCCCGCCCAATGAAGGCAGAGAGTTCTGCCTTATGTTCTTTGCAGGCTGAGTGTGGGTGAGAGCATTGAGAAGAGAGAGCTGTTTAATAAGGATGATGTTCTTGCAAACTGCAAGTCAAACAAGCCACGATCATCCCTGCATGGAGTCACCCAAATTCCAGGATGTCAAAGAAGTTTAAAAGTTATTAGGAGGTTTTTATTTATTTATTTTTAGCGTATTATGTGGGTACAAGTGTTAAGGTTACGTATATTGCCCATGCCCCCCTCCCCCCTAGAGTAAGAGCTTCAAGCGTGTCCACCCCCCAAACATTGCACATCTTTTTTTTTTTTTTTTTTTTTTTTTGAGACAGAGTCTTGCTTTGTTGCCCAGGCTAGAGTGAGTGCCATGGCATCAGCCTAGCTCACAGCAACCTCAAACTCCTGGGCTCAAGCGATCCTTCTGTCTCAGCCTCCCGAGTAGCTGGGACTACAGGCATGCGCCACCATGCCCGGCTAATTTTTATATATATATATATCAGTTGGCCAATTAGTTTCTTTCTATTTATAGTAGAGACGGGGTCTCGCTCTTGCTCAGGCTGGTTTTGAACTCCTGACCTTGAGCAATCCGCCCGCCTCGGCCTCCCAGAGAGCTAGGATTACAGGCGTGAGCCACCGCGCCCGGCCTAACATTGCACATCTTACTGGTTGTGGTTGTATATACCCATCCCCTCCTCCCCCTCCCACCCTCCCGACACCCGATAAATGTTACTCCTATCTGTCCACTTAGGTGTTGACAGGAAGTTTTTCTTAATTTCACATGAAGAAAAGTTTAAGCAGACTATGTTCTCAGACTCAAGAGGAAGAGGTGCTGGTTGGAGTAACTCAAGAACCCAGCAAATCAACTCACCCGAAAGGAACCGTCTGCTTTTTAGCTTCTAAAAAATACCTCCTCATGGCATATGCCACAGATGACCGGAACAAGTACATTTCGTTGTCATTCCATTTGTACTGTAAATTCAGAAGAAAGACACTGCTCAGTAGGGATCATAGGACACTTTTAAAAACCTCATACTCCTCAAGCATTATTCTTAATATTCCAAAGATTCACGCTATTCATTAAAGTCAGTGAACTTCAACTTGAGTGCGCATCAGCATCCCCTGGGGGACTTGTTAAAGGGCTGCGTGCTGGCCCCACCCCCGGAGCGCCTGATTCAGAAAAGTCTGAGTTGAG